TGATAAGTACCTATTAAATTAATTTAACCTTCCAAGTAATAGGAGATCCAAAAATGTCCATATATTTTTATTTAATTTTTTAATTTTTTTAGAAATAAACAATCTATACATGTAAGACACAAGTTTATGTGGTAAGAKAATACAGGACATCAGGTGTTGAATWAGAAACTTCCCACCGATGACATTAGGGTCCATGTTTAATTTGCCAAAATGACCAACTTAGTACCTATCTATCATTTACACTATAATTGTTTCGATCATATTTGATTATTATTATAACTATGMAATTATAACATTTACTTTAATACTATATAATATCATCAAAACGAATGAAAATGAAACTGTATTATTCTATAGTATTCCATATGTAAGTACATCTGCAGGTTTTATTTTTATTTGATAATGTTTGTAATGTATATTATATATTATATTACACATTATTAATATTTTTAAGTAAAATAGGCTTAATAATTATAATTTATATTTTATAGAAATATTGGACCAACAGTAAAATTTGAATTGGCATTTAATGTTTGGATGTTACGGAAAGCGGTGTGCCAAAATTGAGCAAGATATCTGTTGCCACATCATTTCAATTATCTAAACATTAATATTTAAATAGTTGTACATAATTGACTATTGGTTTAGTATTCTGTATTGAAAAAATTATAAAAAACACTTGTCATGATAATATATTTGTAACTACAAAAAAATATGTATTTGTACAACAATTTGACTGGTTGGTAACCATGATTTTAGTGTCAGATGAAATGCGCATTAATTTCTATATATACATAATATAATATTCCAGTTTTAATTTTTTGTTTAATTACGGGGTTACTAATGAACTGTATAAGAATCATGGCAACCAAATAATTTTAAATCTGTAACAAATAATAATATTCTTGTTTAATCACACTAAACATACTCGTCAGTCAAGGTTTATAGATAATAATAATCTATATAATAGTCTATTATCTATAAACCTTGCTCGTCAGTATAGTAGATACACAATGTGATACCTATAATCATTAAGTTGTTAAATTTTTATTATGTTTTTCAGTGTGCGGATCTATGTAATATGATAATCAATTGTGTTTATCTAATATTATTTGATATTACGTATGATATATCGTATTCGATTTGTTTAATCATCGACATTATTAGTTTGTAGCATTTTCCCAAAGATAACAAATACAATAGATTCAATATTACATTAATTTTATTTTTTTGTAAGAACTACCTTTTATCCGTAGAACATTAATTTTATTAACTAAGAAACTACTCGTTTGAATTTTAAATTGAGCAAATAAAAATTTTCAACAAAAAATCCACTGAATAATTTTTAGTTTTAAATATTTAACATTGAGAAATTCCAAAAATCATAATTAGGTACTGAACAAATGCATTATAAAAAGAAAAAATTGGGGTGAGCATGCTTGGTGAATCACTTTGAATAAAATTTTTTATTTGAGTATATTTCAATGGTATAAACAAATTTGTTATTTTTAAATTTTTGATGGGGGAGCCGTGGAGTTAGTCTGGACATGAAATTCTCCGCTTATACACAATAATTGCAGTTTACTTCATGTAAAGAGGATGCCTACCCGCAAGCATTGTCTCCGTTTTACAAAATGTGTATAACATAGCAAATTGCACGTTCTGAATTATTCATTTAACTGTGTAGTAATATGTTTAATTTTAGATTGAATTGACATATCACCAAATTTAGAAGTAAGAATATTATCTAGTCGATGACATAGGTTTTAATTATATTTCAATTTTAAAGCGAGTTATGGACATTTTAAAATTCTACGAGTTAAATAAATTATGTAGAATGTACAATTCACGTATAATTCAAACGTACGTTTGTAAGACGGAGACAACGCATGTGAGTATGGTGATGGAATCTTCTTAAAAAAATTTAAAAAAATGTTCAATATTAGGTATATGTAACATTACCTAGGTATAGTAGGTAGGTACATACATATTATAATCTAAATAATCATTAGGGGTTTAGAGTGACGATAACATTTTGAGAATGATTGTGTAGTTCACAAATCCAAAATCTGGTCCATGTGTAAACACCAAATGTTTTAACCCAAATAAACTATATATCTTATACTGAGTGGAGTGTATATAAAGTTTGAAAACGTTCGGTATTAATATTGTATACACTATAATACYATATACAATGTGTATATAACGTTTACAGACTTTCTCCCTCCACAGATTGGTTATACCGTCTGTATATTTAATATGTTTAGGTACACACTTGTATATAAAAGTTTCACAATGTCAAATCAAATCAAAGGGAAAATGAAATGGCGTCTGGTCTCGGACGAYTTCTGTATCTGACATTAATGAACCTATACGCTGGTATAAATATGTTTAGACCCTACYATAACATCGTGAAAAGCACTCGATTMATTCCTACATCAACAATCACATACATTATAGGTAGGTACACGAGTATTGTATGTTATTGTAATATGCGCAGCTTATATGTTTACTTGTTGTTTTAGGAAAAAACAATTATAACTAAATAAATGTAGATGTCGTCRTGTCTTATTTAGTTGTAATGCAAATTGAATATTCACCACCCAAAACGTGCACATTACGTGCTAAGATATATACCAGCTTTAAAATGTTTTTAATTAAGGGTAAAAGTTTTATCAGAATTTTGCAATTAATTATTTTATACATGAAACCAAAATGAGATGAAAGGATAAACTTTCGTAATATCGGATCCTAAATCAAATATTTGCTGAGATATATCTTTTGTTTTGCTGAACGCTTATTCTATGCACTGTCCGAAAACAATAATAATAATAAAGGCCCCCCGTTGTTGATAAAACTGCTTATTCTTTCTCAGACGAGAACACCGCATAACCACGGTCWGTTAAAAATCGCAAATTTAATCGGCACATTCTGGATGGCTTACCTAAAACCATTGTGTGACGTACGTGTTTACAATACCGTATGCATAAAATTATTTTAATGGCACACCGATGGTAGTAGAATCCAGATCCAGATCATCCTACTTGATCATATCATTTAGTAAAAGTAAACATTTTTTGTATTTTATCATCTTGGTTAATGAATAATATGTATTATTATTTATCATAATTTAATATTGAAGTATATGTTATGGTGTAAGCAAGATTTTTTAAGGGTTACATTMTTACACTACTTTTCGTTGTAAATCTATACATATATAAATACATAATCTTTTAAATGTTATTGTTTTAAATTTCAATAGAATACTTTTATAAAATATATATATATATATATTATTAAACTGTATATACTTTGATTTTTATTTGTAAATCCTAATAAAGAGCAAATAGTGTAATATTTTAATGATAATTATTTACTTTGAATACTATATAAACAGTGAAAATTGTATATAATATACAACCAGGGGAGTAGAAACTGTGCTTACTCTACTAAGTGGGAGCCTTGCGGAGTCTCTTGATCACAGATAACATTTTATCGAATATTAATGAGTTAAAAAATATCGTACAGTATAAATGATAAGTGTAAAAAATGTAATTATTTGTTTTCTGTTATTAAATGACTCTTGTTGTTTGCTCGCGATTTACCCAACAGACAGTCCACTGTTTTCAGGTAAAATTTGTACCTATCTTAATTTAAAACAATATTGTTAGGTTACAAAAAATGGATTTTTGTATATTTATATTTTTTTTGTTATGCATTCGCGTCCYTCTAGTTTCATTAAATATTATCAAATGGCAGCCATAATAAGCCTTTTTTATACTTCTTATATAATAACTTCATACGGTATCGGTATATGTATACAGAGTAAAATAGAGTTTATACTTTATTATGACGATTACTGTTTCAGCCAGTTCACTGCTTATTTAGTGAATAAAATTTAATTGACTAACTGACCAACATGCAATTAATTTCATTCCAGCCACGATCAGTGAAATATTGTCATTTCCATTGATTGTAAATGTGACTGGTACGTCGTTGAGAAAATCGAAATTTATGAATCGGAGATTGCATTGGCACTATCGAGTCAGT